GCAAACTTTAATTGAAAAAACAAAATCATTTGAATGATGCTGTTCTCTCTAATAGATAATATCCACATAGAGAGCTGTTAGTTTGTGGGAAGAAACGGTAAAATGTGATTTTTATGTTCTACTAAGAGGTTTGCATTTTAACTTTCATTTCCCTCATAATACCTGAGCATAGCAGTCAAATTAATGAGTCAAGTCAACTTGTAAATGAATACAGGAACAACTCAAGTTCCACACTTAACATGTGGGGAAACAGAGAATCCTGAGATTAGGACTAGATTGGGAATTAAAGGAAACTGTGACTTTTAAGTTAATCAGTTTGTTAAAAAGACTCAAATTCTTTATATGTCTAAATATCAAAATAATTTGCCTAAGGACAAAAACACTTATACGATACATCCCAAATTAGATTTAATACATTAGTAACATGGGGAATAATGCCAATAGGACATTCCATTAATACAGCAATACATTAGCAATATAATCAGTAACAATTTGCAATAACTCCAAAATGATCATTAAACTTAGAGCCAGGGGAAAATTACTAGTGAGCCAAAAGACACTTCTGAAAATTTTGATACCACAATATTCAAGGTCGAAGAAAAACGTTCTTTCTGAACTGCATACTAAAAGGTTAATTAAAGTGAGCAAAACTTCTGAGATGAAGGAAAGGACACTAGCAACCAATAACTTTGAGGGCTCCAGGAAGGCATGGTTGAATAAACTCCTGTAATTTTGTCAAAAATGGTACCTGTACCTCCAGAAAAAATCACAACAAACCCTCTGAGGTTGTTCTCCAAACACTGCACTTGTTCTGGCTCGGTGGGGGTTTACTTTCAGGCGTCACACTTACCTCCAGCCTGAACTGGCTTCCTTGGAGCACCTATCCTACGTCAGGCAGCCAGGCAGGTATCACCCCACACAGTGCCCGTAACTGCAAAGAGTTTCAATCCTGAAGCATTAGAATGAGTTCCAACTGAAAGCTATTACTTACCACATTAAACAATGAGCCTGGGTGACACGTAAGATTAATTATATGTTATTCCATTCTGACTTTTAAAAGATTCAGTGTGATTTCACACTGTGCTAATTTTTTAATAGGCAGAAGAAAAGGCAATCATTTAATTGTGACAATGTATCATAAAGCTCCTAGCATGAACCACAATAAAAGAATATTCCACCGAAATATCTTACTAAAAGGCTGTTTTCCTTTATGATGATAAAGAAAAGGGTATTTGTTTCATTCTGATGATACTGTAACTGATTCCAATGTTCTGCAGGGAGGAGAAACGTTTTTCTCTTGCCTACATAGAAATAAGTAACCATGTAAGCCTATGTGTGTGTGTTAGAAAGAGGGAAACCATTAACTGCCATCACATTTACTTTTCCGTCATCAGAAGGGTCCCAGAGTCTGCCTGTGGGTGTAGCGTTAGACAGCGGCACCCGTCATCCTTACTCCGCTCAGCGGGAAGCAAGGGGCCACGGTGTGCAAATCCCAAACCAGGACTGAGTTCCCTTCTCTTTGTACCTATCTGCTTCTCTGCTCTGGCCCTTATCTAGACACGAAAAGAAGCTGGAAATTCAAATGTTCAGGGAATTCAAATATCGCGGAAGAAACAGTCCCTTCCTTCCTGAATAAGGAATTAAACTGACCTCAATATATTTATCCTCTGAGCTTGTAAACTTGTCCATAAGATCCTGTTTCAGAGACCTCAGTCTGGGAGGTCTATCCTGATTTAGCAGAATGAAGAATACTCTCCGGGGCGCTGCGGGTGTGGGGTGAAGGGAGCCTGGTTTGTCCGCCAACCAGTGGTCCGTGAGGTCTGAAAGGCTGGTGACGGCTGGCCTAGAGGACTTGCTTTCGTACCAGATGGGGTTTTCCCTTTAGAACAGTAACCAGTGGGCCAGGCCTAGCATATGGTCAAGTTCAAACAGCTTACAACACACTCAAAATATGTATTGCTCTCTCGTAACTGCATGTCCTCTACCCCCTCTCTCTCATTCTTCATCCGGCAATAGGTGCTCCTCCCTCGTTCTCCCCGGCCTGGCTCCTGCAGCACCTCACGCCCACTTCTTGTGAGGTCGGGAGGAGACAGTTCTGACCCCATGACAGGGAATGACAGCGGTGAGCAGCTGAGTGTGGAGAGCCCAAGCTGCAGCCTTGGCCCAGAGAGGCTCTGTCCTTTCCCCGTCTCCCTCAGGACACCAGGCCGGCGGCTGTTCTGTTTCCTGAGGCCCCATTGCCCCGTGGTCAGGGACGCCGTGTCAGAAGGCAACCTGCATTCACGAGTGCCCTTCTTCTCTTCCATTTGCTGCCGCCTATGATGGGCCAGCGCTTCTTCTCCACGGGCTGTTTGGGTAAGTAAATTTGGCAAGGTCCCCCACCGAACTCACTAATTCCTGTCACTCGGCACCAGAATGCTGAGACTGCTTATTGGGGAAGGGGCTATTCCAGAGTGCTGGGCCTCAGCCAGGTGCCCTGACTCAGCTTAGGGCAGCCCTGAATCTGAATCACCAGATACTTGCCCATCTGGAATGTTGTTCTCCACTTGGCAACTCATTCTCAGATCTACAGCTCCTTTGTCAGAAAACTGCAAAGGGAAGCACGATGAGTCGGACGGAAGAACCTAGTATATCCAAACCTCTGACACTCTCATCTTAGCACTTCTAAGAATGCGCTGTCATTATCCGTCTCCCTCATTAGACAGTAAATTGCCTGAGATTCTTTTATTGATCTTTATATCCCCAGCGCTTAGTACAATGCCCAATATATATAAGGTGCTCAAGAAGTGTTAAGTCTATGAATGGACAGATGGATGAGTTTGACCATGCTTGGAGCTACTTCATCAATCCAACCCCTGGCTACTCTGCCCCTGGTCCTGTCACTTGCTACGCCCGTTAAGGCTGTCCTGCCTCTGAGGTTAGCCCAGCTGGTCGCCTTACATAGTGTCCTCGTTCCAGCTCAACGTTCACATACTCCATTAGCCCTTTCCAGCTGGTTCTGCCCACACTCATTCCCCCTTTCTAATGCTTCTTGCACAGTGTAGTACTTCGTTATTCTCTAATTTGTTTTAAGTGTACCCGAGTTATATTCTTAACCGGATTGTATGTGACCTCGTCTTGACTCACGTCTGCTGTGAGACAACATCAGGCAGGGTAGAGTTTGTAACTAGAGGAGCCGATGCCTGGACCCCTAACCTGAGTGAGGTAGAAAGTCACGTAGTTTCCCTGGGCCTCAGTTTCCTTATCTGTGAAAATTAGTGGAATAATTATCTACTTGAATGTGTCATGGCATTGTAAAGATCAACATAAAAATGTAACAGCATCTTCAAAAAAGTTATGAGCAATTTATACTTAAGGCAGAATAGAGTTTGGATGAGAGCTTAATAATGCTTATGGAGTTATTGTGTTTATAGGCATCTATATATATATATAAAAGGCTAATATGCTAAGTGTTCATCTGATTGGTTGCTATGATGACCACCAGGGGCAGACACTCAACTCAGGAGCTGCCAAGCTGCAGTGATTTAGCAGCCATGTTTCTCAGGTGATGCACCCCGAAACCAGAGAGAAGGGAGCCCAATTCCTCACAGGATGGCACTATTTCACCTTCGGCTATGGGTTATGTTGTTGCTGGGGCACTGTCGCCCCAAATCTGCACATGTGCATTTGTGTTCCACACCCTGTACGACAGCAACTTTCCAGAGTGCCCTCTCTCACTCTGGGACCCCTCGGGGGATGTCGAAGAGCCAGTTTTGGCCCAATCCCTACTGGCCAGGCCAAGGGACCCCGGCCCTTGACCGGAATCGAACCTGGGACCTCTTAGTCCTTAGGCCGACGCTCTATCCACTGAGCCAAACCGGTTTCAGCTTAACTTGAATTTCAATCCCAGTATAGATATGTAGAAAGTTGGGCAGGATTTACTACTCTCATTCCACAAGTGAGAACTCAGAAGTTGAGAAAAGATGAAGGTCAGAGAACCTGGAAACCATCGATTAATGCCCCACAGGGCTCACCTGGTGTGAAGGGTTAGTCCTCTTTCTCACGTGATGAGGTGAAGAAGGGAGAGTTGTAGGTACCATGTAGACTGTTTAATGTTTAGCCTTTTAGGCATTTAGATGTAGTGGGAAATACCCATTTTCTTTGATTTAAAAATTACGTGTAGGAATCTAAAAACATTGATTTAAAACTAAGCTCATACAAATAGGTACATGAAGGAAGGGATTTCATAGCCTTTAGCTAAATTGATTAACACACCCATGTTGTGTGAAAACATAATCATCCGAGTCAAGTGTATTTCTGCTTAGGACTCAAATTCCAAGAGAAGTAGCTTAAGGAGCTGTATATACCAGAGCCGTCTAACATGGTAACTGCTAAAAACATCTGGCTATTTAAAGTTTGATAAGGTTTAAAACTCAGCTCCTTATTTCATGAGCTACATTTGAGTGCTGAAAAGCCACAGGTGGCTAGTGGCTACCACATTAAACAGGGGAGAGAGAAGACTTTTTTTTCAGAAAATGCTATTAGAAATTCGGTCTGTGAATAGCATAGGCCAATGAGGTTAACAAGAAGCCCATGTGATGGTCAGGAGGCGTTCATCAAATTGCTCCAAACTAGCATTCCCCTGTCCAATGTTTCCGAATGTTTCTGTTACCCACACAAGGCTAAGTCTTGGCCATCATAAATCATCTTATCTTTATATTTTCCATAGCCACTGCTTTAATATTGGTGAAACAAGCCTTGAATTCGCTAGGTGGGGAGACTGATGTCGTGAATAACTTAATGCTCACTGTCGCAACATCAGATCTTTCATTGAGGAGCACACACTTTTGAATGCATGTTACTTTATTGAAACACACATATATGCAACGACAACAGAGGAGAGCTCTGCAGAGGGGAGCAGAGGGGCTGCTTGCATTGGGAAAACAGGCAGCCTCTAGCTTTACAGAATGAAATTGGGGTTGGAAAATAGGCAAAGCCCGGAGAGCAAGTTCCCTCTCCCATCACCACATAGAGCGGTCTTCCAGCCTGTCAACAGAAGAAGCAGAGCGTGTAAGAGAAGCTCCCCAGCTTCCTGGGGAGCTGGCAAGAGCGAGACATTCTGTTCTGAACTGAAAGAGGGTCAGAAACTGTGGAAGGGCTCCCACCGGCATTCCGTGTGGAATATCAGAGCGGGAGACGGTGGCGCAATGTGCACAGACCCAGCTGAGTAGCTTTTACTCGTGGTCATGGGAGTCTTGGGCAGATCTCAGAGGGACTATTTCAAAGGCTCAAAGAACCCTGCAGTATTTCTGAAGATCAAAACTAGGAACCACACGAAAACCATAACAAGAAAGTTATTGTTGCTCAACTCTGAATATGCTTCCTTCGTTTCCCTTCAAGGCTTTCTATGTAGGCAGACGCTACGTATTTGGACTCTAAATTACCCTTTTTAATAAAAAAATAAAAATAAAAAAAGCATTCACAGGCAACAAAAAGGCTATCAGGTTTTGTTTCCTTATAACTGCATTGATTGTGGCCGTCAATCAGGATGCAATTAACTTTATCTCGTGCCCTAACCGTGCAACTTCAGGCCACAAAACAAAGTAAGTTTTCTTATCCTAAGTAGATAGGACATAGCTCACCCTAAGCTTGTTATAATAGCAAACCTCATACGCACGTCCATGAAACATAAAAAAGCATTTATTGATTAGTATGTAAAAGCAATCCTTATGAATTTTTCCATTTGTTCCCCTTGCATTTGTTATTGAAATCTGGCTGGTACCTCCACAGGTATGAGCACTGGAGCTTTATTCCAGTCCAAATGGTTGTTTCCCTCGGAGAAAACAAACCTGACAGCTCTAGAATGGCACCTGCACGCTGGCTGGCCATTGCACAAGGGAACGGAGGAAGGGTTGGAGGGCAGGTCACCTGCTTGAACCTCCAAGGGAAACCTCTCCGGTCACACTCACTGAGCAAGTGTTCTAGTGACCTCTTCTGGGGAACTTGGTTCTTGCCGTTGTCGAGCTCTGGGATTAAGGCAGACAAGCTACCACAGAAATGGATGAACCACATGCCATGTGATCTAACGGGGGTAGAGGCAAGAGGCAGCGGATGAAAACCAAGGGGGACCAGGCTTCCTCTTAGCAGAACTCCTTGTCCACGGGGTCCTGGCCCAATGTCCAACCCTTAGATATTGGTGGGCATCTCTTCCCCAAACAGTCCACCCTCCAAGAAAGCCCCAAGGCTACAAGCCCCTAAGAATAATACATTGTTCAATATTCATTCATTGAATGCAATAAATTACTGTGTGACATCAGTTGAACTAAAATATGTTAAAAAGTAAATGAGTTCCATGTAATTTATCTATAGTTTCATGTAAACCAGAAAGATTGGAATAAGACTCATGAGGGACATGACATATTATCAGATACCCAGACACTCCACAGAGTATATTAAAAAAAAAAAAACATTACCCCAGTCAGAAATGGATGATGGGTCATTTCAATGTAGAGACGGAAACTCATTCATGCTCCCCCAATTCTAACCCAATAGAAATTATCCATAGAGTAATGTCTGCAGTAAAAGTCACGCATATTTAAAGTTTTTCAAGGAGCATCAAATAATTTGCAGTAGAAAATATTACCCCCCAGTTTAAAGATTTACAAATGACTCCATGAAAAGAAAGGTCCTCCCCACCTTATCCTCCATTCCCCTCTCTCTCCAAAGCCTACCTGGTCTGGAAGACTCGGTTCCAAAGCTTCCTCCCCAAGCAGCCCTCTCTGATTCCCTCCCCCAAAGTCCCACACTAGCCTTCCCATACCTAGTTCGAGGGATATTCTCTGCGCTTTCACTCAGCAAGAGGTCTGAAATCAGTGTCTCAGGACTGGATCGTTTCCCATATCTAACAAAACCAAAACAGAAAGGAAAAATTATTTAAAGCACGTTTTGAATATTCATAAAAATATTTAGAAAAAAAGATGATCTCCCATTTGGGTTATCAAGTCTAAACCTGACTTTCAGTTCATTATCTGCTAACAGTGACTTAGGCCCACAAAGCACACATTATCGTCAAAACCATCACGCCCTGGCGGCGGCTCAGTCGGCAGAGCATCGTCTCATTCACAGAAGGTGGCAGGTCTCTCTCTTCCTGGTCAGGGCCCGGCCCCAGGTTCAGGGTCAGTTCCCAGGTGGGGCTCATGTGGCAGGCAGCTGATTGATGTTTCTCTCTCACATCCATGTTTTTCCCTCTCTCTCTCCCTCCCTCTCTCTAAAATCGATTAAAAAAATAAAAAGTATCATATGACTTCAAATTAAATATGTATATAATTTTTTACATACTTAAATAACAGCAGATTATTTAAACCCAACAAAATTCCAAATTCTTGTCTTTTTATACCACAAATAATACATGTGTAGATATATTTATAACGAGGTGGTAGGAAATAAAAGTACATCAAAGCATGATTTTAACGTTTCCATAATTAATTAATTGGCTATAGCTCAAATGATATACAGCAGTTTAAATCTTAAAGAGACCAGATGATATTTAAGAAACATCTCTAACAACAAAATTGGTGACTAAAGTTCCAGACTCACCTGTGTCTTTTATTCTTAGTTTTTTCATTTGTAAAAACAAAATCATAACATACTTAAATCATACTCTCAGTTAAAATGTAGTGTGTCACAATGCTTTGGAAATGACAAAGTGATACACAAATATAAATGGCTGCCGCTGAAATTCACACTTTCTTACAGATAGCAATGGAACCTGGATTCTATATTTTCCTTGTTTGGGGTACCACAAGCTAAAAAAAAAAAAAAAAAAAAAAAAAGCCTTCTCTCATGTTGTGATTTTGTTTTGTTTTGTTTTGTTTTGTTTTGTTTTGTTTTGTTTCAAATAGCCATATAGTTTTTATTTTATTTTATGTTATTGTTTGAAGTATTACAAATAGTAGTACCTGTCTCCTTTTTCCCCCATTGACATCCATCCCCCTTCCTTCCCCCCCCACATGCCCTCACCACCACCACCACCACTACCACCACCACCACCACCACCTGCCCCCACCCTCCACCCCTACAGTGTCTTGCATCCATTGGTTATGCTTATATGTCATACTGTGATTTTAATCTGCCCTGTAAGAATAAAGGAATCCTACTGGTCCATAGAAATGATTCTGGTCTTTTTCTCCTGTTGCAGGACATAAATAGGACAATATCTGAATGCGAAGCTATGCTTTCCTGCCAGGATGACACATGTTACTTACTCCAGGTGAGTAAATGGAACCATTCCTCCGACACTTGCTCTCTCTCGCGCTCTCTCTCTAAAGAGTCTAACAAGTCTACAGTACTAAATTGCATTTTTTAAAGAGGCTGTTCGCCCCTTTTTCAAAAAGGGCACTGGACACCAACAGCCACTTTTTCCCCACAAATGGGAGATTAGCCTGGCTGGACTGATTAGCTAAGAGATGAAACTGAGGAACAGAGCTGTCAGAAGGCATACTCTGACTGCCTATCAAGCACAATTAAATCTAAATTTGGGGGGAAATCTTCCTATTATTGCCCCTTTTTCTAAGACTCAAGGGAAGAAAAAAAATAAGCAGACTCCCCTGTCCCCATCACTTGTGAGGTTTCCTCAAAGATTTCCTGGAGCTGCCTTATCAGATTCTAGGCTGTTGCTTATTCTTATGTATTCTGTCCATCAGTTGATTTTATAATATTAATCTTAAAACTCTTGGGCAACCTTTAATCATTTATCTTCATCATGCTCCAGTGAATGAAAAAGCTGGCCAGTATTTTCTCCAATTTATCAGGTAAAGAGACTACACCTATAATAGGCTTTGCACAGGATAGCACTGTTCACTGTTCTTCATTCTCTAATTTATTCTAGATTATCCTTTTTCTCTACAATGCTTTAACTTTCGAAGGTATAGATTCTGTACGGGGGGGGGGGGGATCCTAATCCTGGCTGCACTCGAAAGAGCTTTTAAAATTGCTATGAAGTCTAAGACCCACCCTTACTGCGAGTTCTGACTTAACTGGTCCAGGTGCAGTCTAACATCAGCATATTGTTTAAATTTCTCAGATGATCCCAAGGTGCACCTGGGTAGAGAAACACTTAAGACTGGGTTTCTCAATCCCAGCACTGTGGACATTTGGGCTGACTAATTCTTAGCTGTAGGGGGCTGTCCTAGGCAGAGTAGGGTGTTCAGCTGCACCCCTGGCCCCTGCTCTCTGGGTGTCAGTAGCACCATCCCTCGTTGTGTCCCGACATGGCTAAATATCATGGGAGCAAAAAGCCAGCCTGAGGCGATCTAACAAGATGTGGATCTACCATGCTCTAGAAAAAAATGATGTAGCTTTTGGAAGCAGTGAACCAGGGTATACAGCTTAAAAACATGGACTGTGTGGAAAAGGGAGGAAAGAGAGCATTTGTGACAAAGTCAAACATATATTCACAAATGACACCAAAATCTTCACAAATGCCAACATGTGCATCTGAGTGGGGCGTGTGGTGGGAAGGCAATCCACATACAGGATGCAGATCATCGGTGCAGATTACATGCCTCTGATAGTTTCTAAGGAGGCATTTATATGAAGATGAGACAAAAGCTCTGCTCTAGGGCCAACTCTTTTCCACTGAATCTGAATCTCTTCCCATGAAACTCAAGTCCCTTCCCCTTCCTTTTTTCTCATCAAAGATGTTGGAAGTCATATCGACTGCTAATGGTGGTGACAACATCAAGGAAAATGAGGAGGAGGGCTCCAATTCCATCACCCCTAAAATGATTCCATGAAACGTTCTTAGTAAAATGGAGATAATTATACTCACTCCAAAGTCCTGAAGTAAAGACTGAACAAAGTAACGCCTAGGAAAACATTTTGAAATGCTAAAGCTTTAATACCGTATAATGATAAAGCTTTATAGCAGCTGTCTTTTCAAAACTAAGTTCTCCTGGGTGTTATAAATGACAAACTAAAGAACTAACAATGGTTTTCTTGGAAAAGAACAATATCTTTTTTATTTGTACAAGTTCTTTTCTCTGGTCTGTAAGATAGCATAAGCAATAACTAAAAGCAATTAACTTTCTGAGAAATCTATTAGGATATAAAACACTGTTGCCTTTCACTAATTAACATTATCAGTCTTCAAGGATCATAAACCAATACTACTCAATTCTGGCACTCTCATGTATTTCTGATTCTATGAAAATTGGATCTTATAGAAAACTTCTCAGGATGAAACGGCTTTGTGATGAAACATAAAAAATAAACTTTGTTTAAGAAATAGAAATTCTCTCCACTTTGCATCCTTTCCAACTATTCCCCGACTTGTAAAAAGCAAAAATATGATAAAAACACTTTATAAAACATAATTTAAATATATTAAATAGCACGAATGCTTTTGAAGGGTTCATTGTTTTTTAGTTTCTTTAAGGTCATTTTATCTTGAGAATTAAAATATAAAATATTAAATGATTTAGAACTAAGATGAACCAATTTTAAAAACATTTTAAATCCTAGATTATTTGTAAAATTATTTGGATTCGATTTTTTTGCCTAATAGTTGATATTGAGAACGAAAATGTGGAATTTCATTTTCACTTCCTGGGGGTTCAGAACGAGCTTTACAATTTCTTGAATTCCGTGCAAACTCTGGAGTCATCCTAGAGTGACTAGAACAATAAGCTTCTATCTAATAAAGCACCAAGCAGACACTTTCTTTTCAGTGTGCATGTGCTATACAATGGCCAAACTTCTGCACTTTAGATCAACAGTTTTCTGCTAAATGTCTATTTATTTGGACCAGAATTTTCAAGTAAAGGTCTGAGACACCATACAGAAGAGGAGAAAATAGCATACACTGTCATTCCCTTTGCTCTGGGCAGACTGGAAAGTCTGGCAATGTCTTTATCAACCAGCTCTCCTCCTTGGGTTTTGTTACTTTTCTCGGACCACCCTGCTCTCTGGCTTCCCCACAGCCATTCTCCGGGGGCACTGCCCACCCTTTCGCCTGGTACTTTCCCTTCCTGGTTCCAAAACAGAACCCACTGTCCTAAGAACAAAAAGGGCCAGGGGATGATGGGTAGGTGGGAGGGGATGCCAGCCACACAGCACTGAGTACCTGGTTCTGGGGACGGGGCCTTGGTGACCCGTTGTGGAGGGAGAGTACTCAGTGCCCCGCACAAACACTCCCTGATCGCTGACAGTCTTGTTTGGGTCCCTGTCCTCTCTGAACCCCCGGGAGCCCTGGGCCAGCAGGACAGGCGGCTCCTGGAGGCGGCCCCTGGCGGCCCACCCACCTCTGCCTGGTGATGAGGTTGATGTAGTGTCGCAGCGCAGCGTAGTATCTGGCCAGCTCTTCGGCGGACGCGTTGGCCCCGGGCTTCTCGGGCTTCTCGGGGTAGGCCTCCGCCAGCAGGCCCAGGCACAGCAGCAGGCACAGGGCTAGCGCCCCGCGGGCCGGCCCCCGGCGCTGGCTCCCCGGCATCTGAGGGCACAGAGACACAGGGAAGGGGGTGGGGGGTTAGGGGGACACCTGGCACACACAGCCCCCTCGCTTCCTGGAGCTGGTCCCCGCTGACACCCAGGACCCCGGGCATGGCCCCCGCTGACACCCAGGACCCCGGAGCCTGGTCCCCGCTGACACCCAGGACCGGGAGCGGCTGGGCCCGCGGACAGAGGGGAGCGGAGTGGCAGCGCCCGCTCGGGGTGCAGCCTGCGCCCCGCTCCAGGCCCGGGGACTCCGTGCGATCTGGTCCCAGTCCCGGCGGAGAGTCCGGAGCGGAGGCACCGGTTCTGAGGCTGCACACACAGGAGGTCCCGGCTGGGCACAGGGCATCACTTCCCTGCCCTCCTGCCCCAAACCCGTCCGCTCGTCTGCCTGTCCGTCAGTCCGTCAGTCCGTCCCGGAGGAAAGTTTCTTCCCGAGACTTCTGTCTGAGGGCGCCTGGGAGGCGGCGGAGACCATGGGGACCAAGGGGAAGAGGGGAGAGGAGAGAGAAGAGAGGGGAGAGGGCAGAGGGGAGAGGGGAGAGGGGACAGGGGACAGGGGAGGGGAGCACCCCCCCGCCCGGGCCGCAGGGGCCAGGGCCCCGCTCGGACCCCGGGCACTCACGGCGATGGGCGGCGGGCGCTGTCCGGAGCGGCCTGGCGCGGGCGGGTGGAGGGCGGCGGGTGGAGGGTGAGCGCTGTCGGCGGCTTTTATGGAGCCCGGGCGGCAGGAGGGGCCTCGGCGGTCGCGCTCATCCTCCCCTCCCCGCCCGCCCGAGGGAGGGGGCGCGGGCTGGGGCCACCCACAGGCACCCCCTCCGGCCGCACCGGGCGGGAGCGCACCCAGCTCCGGGCGGGCGGGCGGGCGGGCGGCGGGCGCCTTTCCTGCGCTTAACGGGAGCCCCGGCCCCGGACCCCCAGCCCCGGCCCCGCTCCCCCGGCCCCGCTGCCCCCCGCCCCGCTCCCCCGGCCCCGCAGGGCTGAGCCCTTCCCGGGGCGGGACCTCGTGCGGAGACAAACTCCCAGGGAGGCAGCACTTGGTAAAGGCGCTTCCTCGCTGGCGGGAAAGAGCCGGGTTTCAAGGGTGAGGGACCCGAAAGGCGCGATCGCAGAGGCCTTCTGCCCCCCCAGCCGCGCGGGGTGCGGGGCCGGCTCTGCCCGCAGCGGCTCCCGGGCTGGAGCGCCCGGTGCAGGTTCCAACCCGTCCCCCCCCCCCCCCCCCCCCCAGCTGGAGGCGACTGGTCAAACTGGTCCATGTTTCTTTCTTCTTTTTTCTTTCTTTCTTTCTTTCTTTCTTTCTTTCTTTCTTTCTTTCTTTCTTTCTTTCTTTCTTTCTTTCTTTCTTTCTTTCTTTCTTTCTTTCTTTCTTTCTTTCTCTTTCTTTCTTTTTTTCTTTTCTTTTCTTTCTTTCTTTCTCTTTCTTTCTTTCTTTCTTTCTTTCTTTCTTTCTTTCTGTCTGTCTGTCTTTCTTTCCTTCTTCCTTCCTTCCTTCTTTCCTTCCTTCCTTCCTTCCTTCCTTCCTTCCTTCCTTCCTTCCTTCCTTCCTTCCTTCCTTTCTTTCTTTCTTTCTTTCTTTCTTTCTTTCTTTCTTTCTTTCTTTCTTTCTTCTTTTTCTCTCTCTCCCCTTCCTTCCTCTCTCTAAACATACCCTCAAGTGAGAATTAAAAAGGAAAAAAAATAACAGCAATTTTTCTTTTATTAGCTAGCCCTTAATCTCAAATATGTTCAATTAATGTTGATGAAGCATGTGTGTTCTGGTGGAAATAAAACGGGTAAAAAAAAAATCACTTATTCGTGCATCATTTAAACCTGTATAATGAATATGAAAGATACAGAAACCATTTTTACAGGTTCAGTACTTTTATGTAGTGGACGACCTCTTTAAATTCCCTTAATGCCCCTGGAAGTATGAATCTTTCTTTTTTTAAAAATCGGCACATTAGGATATTAAAGCATTAAGTTACATGTTATTTTAACATTAAAATGACAAGTGAGTCTGTAAAACAGTCTGTTTTTGTGCCTTTTTCCTGAATTGACTTAAATGTCGATGACTGCTTAGCAAGCGATCCTGCTGTGTCAGCTGAGAGCATGTTTTCCATACACACGTGCCAGACACACAAGTATCAGGGCTCTGGCGTTGTTCGGGATGCTTAGAGAGTTTTTGGTAAAGTTAGAGCTGAACACCTTTTAAAGGAAGAGCCCTTCCCTGATAAGGGGAAGAGCAAAGTCCACTTTTCAATAAAATAATCTTATTTCATCATCAGTTGAAACGCAGACGTGGAAGTATAAACCACCCCTCTATTCTCTCAATGTCACTTCTGTTAAAAGTGTTTTTGTAAAAGACGAATTGTTAACTAATATGCAACCTGTGAAGACTTCCAAAAACTAACTTCAAAGGAAACTGAGTCAAATGGTGATAGACAGAAGCTTGACTTGGGGTGGTGAACACACAATAGAGTGTACAGATTATGCCGAAACCGGTTTGACTCAGTGGATAGAGCGTCGGCCTGCAGACTCAAGGGTCCCGGGTTCGATCCTGGTCAAAGGGCATGTACGTGGGTTGCTGGCACCTCCCCGGTGGGGGTGTGCAAGAGGCAGCTGATCGATGTTTCTCTCTCATCGATGTTTCTAGCTCTCTATCCCTCTCCCTTCCTCTCTGTAAAAAAATCAATAGAATATATATTTTTTTTTAAAAGATTATATGTTGTGGAACTGTGCACATAAAGCCTGTATAATTTTGTTAATCAGTGTCACCCCAATAAATTCAATACAAAGGGAAAAATTAAAAAATATTAACAATTAAGGACCACTTTGTATTAATCACTGTACATTAACTCATCCTAATAATAGCACTATGAGATAAATATTACTTTTACCATTTTACTGAAAAGGAAACAGAAACTCAGATTACATAGAATTTTTTGAAGTACAAATATAAGGGATTGGGCAGGAATTGAGAGGCTTAATGTAAACTAAAGTGACTGAGTGCCATTACTGGCTACATATTTGTGAAAATAGGACTAAGTATACCTACATATTCATTTATAAAGTATATAATTTTGCCCCTGAGATGATCTCCACGGATGTGAGATTTGAACTTGACTTTTAATAGGAGGGAAGGTTTGGGAGCGATGGGGCTGATGTGGGTTAACTCACAAGTGTGGAAAAGTACCTGTTTTGAGCAAATGTAGCAATTTAGCAAAGGTCAAGAGTTCAGATGGGAATGATGGAAAATTAAGCTGGAACAGAGATTGAGAAAGACCAGCAATAAAGGAAATGACTATCAGGCTAAGTGATTAGACTTCTCACTGTCAGAAAGGAGATGTGACATGATTAAACAATGCTTCAGAAAGATTAACCAGGCATTCACATAATAGATGCCTAGAGGAGAATAATTGCATTTATGATGCCCAATTGACAGGTTAAAGTTGCTGCTGGTGGCTTGGACTAGTGGTGATGGTAACGAGAAGCAGTAGGAATCGGGATGCATTTTGAAGATAGAACAGGAAAGACATGGTGGTGGACTGTATGAAGTATGCTGGAATAAAGAAGGAGAAAAATCAAGAAGGTGCTGTCCTGCCAGCATGGCTCCGTGGTTGAGCATCGAGCCATGGATATCACGGTTCCATTCCTGCTCAGGGTATATGCCTGGGTTGCGAGCTCAATCCCCAGTGTGGGGCATGCAGGAGGCAGCTGATTCTCTATCATCATTGCTGTTTCTCTCTCTCTCTCTCTCTCTCTCTCTCTCTCTCTCTCTCTCTCTCCCTTTCCCTTCCTCTCTGAAATCAATTAATATATATATTTATATATTTTTTTATTATTATTTTTTAAAGAAGGTATCTCTGAAAGGTTTTCTGCTCTTCAGTGTCTTAAAATCTATCTTGGGGTAGAGATTATCCTTAACTCTTTGATTCTTTTATTTCCTATACTCCAATCATATAATCCATCAATAAGTATACTAGACTGTGTGTCCCCAAACATATCTTGAAATATTGATGTGAGAGAAACACATCCATTGGTTGCCTCCTGCACTCACCCTGACCAGGACCTGGGCCGGGGAGAAGCCTGCAACCGAGATTGGTGTCCTTGACCAGAATCGAATCTGGGACCCTTCTGTCCGCAAGCCAGTGCTCTATCCACTGAGCAAAACTGGCTAGGGCCACTTTTTCATTTCTAATTTATCATTTCTAGGACAGAAAATTGCTATGGATTTTAAAATAACCATCTGATTAAATTATTATGATCTTATTTCTAAATTATTTTATTTACTTTAATGTATTTTGATTTTCTGATAGTTTTCTTAGTGAATAATTATATTGATGATGAAAATGTAATTTTTTGATCCTCCTATAATATTTAGTGATCATTTCTGTTTCTTGTCTTACTGTATTAGTTCAAACTTCCAGAAATAATATTGAATGATATAGTGATAGCAAAGGCATCTATTCTAATCTTGATTGGAATTCTCTCATTTAATATGGCATTTGCCAGTTTGTGGTAAATGGTCTTCATCAATATTAAGAACTGTAGTTTTCTTTTATTTTTTTCACTTTTTTAAAAAAACTAAGAATGGCTTTTCAAATTAATCAAATATCTTAATATTTATTAATCATGCAGTTCTTTAATTGGCTATATCAATTGATTTCTTATATGGTACTATCTTTACATTCTAGAATAAATTCTATTTTTTCATGACTATTATCTTCGATATGATAATATTCTATTTTGAAATCCTGATTTGTAAGTGAAATAGTTCCCTATTTATGTTCTGACTTTATAAGACTTTAATATTAAGATTATGCTAGAGTCTTTGTGGTCTGGAAGGTTCAAATAAATATTGAAATGATTTATTCTTTAAAGATTAGTGTTCAGCTTTAAAACTACCTGGTTTGTTTCTTTTAAATAAAGGATCTTTAACTATTGTTCTAGTCTTTAGTGATCTGTTTGATATTGTTTCCTTAATTGTAGTAAATTTTTGAATTAAGAAATTTTTAAGTT